AATCGTAGTCATCACGTCGAATGTAAACCGAGAACAAAAGTTCATTTGTACATTGAAATGTATTTGAACAGACACCACAGGTGTTTTTTCTTAATATTGATGATTCCAGTAGAATCACACTGATCCAATACTGACATAGCGCAATGAATTTCGAGAATCTGCTAATCGACACGAGCTATTTTTAACTCTTAGAAAAGTTAGAGATGAGAAAGATGTGAAAAGAGTGATAGAAATTTCTTGCAGAGTCAAAAATGAGAAGCGTTTTTCGAAAGTGGACGTGATATAGCGCACATGCCACTAAATTTCGATATGACAAACTTGGCTTTCCATTATTGGAATAAAAAATTCACGAAACTGCAAAGATCTCTATTCCTGCCTGCCCGAGCATCGCTTGCGAGAACTTTCAAGTCCCAGAAGTTACAAAGTCGTGAATGTGGTTTTATAATCGATATTTAGGCAGATATTACAGAACGATCAAGTCGATTTATTGGTGGAAATCTCATAATGAGAGGCTTTGTGCAAAACTTTTTATCGCGTTCCAACCATGACAGTGAATTGCGGGGGACAGTCGGTCATCCGTTCAGTGCTTTTTATCCCTTTCATGGATTACTAATCTCACAAAACCACGACAAAAGTTTTGAATCAAGGCTTAGATATTCGTAAAAGTGTAGGACTATTCTTGGCGTAAGGTTTCAACATCTGAAAAACAAGCGCCCTTATGCTACTTTTTCTACTTTCTGATATGAAAATGCCAAAGAAATACGTTTTCGCAAATCTTTTCGTACATCCAATCCATTGTCTTGTTCCATAGCCGATATTCTCATTTCTTCAAGTAATTCTTGTTGATTTCCAAGATTTTTTTCAGAGAAAAAAACTTGTTGTCCTTGATTATACTCAAAAAGTTGGAAGCGGAAATTTGTCAATTCACAAAAACATGGTTGCATAATCCCGGATATATTATATCAAAACTCAGAATTGAATTAATCCCGCAGTAATAGGATACAACATCTCTTAGACTCGAAGCTTTAAAGCTAATAATCCTACAAAAAATTGAAACAGTCAAGGGAAATCCCAATTGTCAACAGAGAGGATTCGATGTATGGAATAAGGATGATAACGCTTCCAAACAAAGTCGGACAGATAAGTATTAAAATGGTTTAGGGAGGAAATGAAAACATACCCAACCGAACACCCATTGCGATTTCCCGAGTTTTTTGCTTTCAGACACGATCAGGAAAGGCGGTCTTAGTACTATTCGATCTGCCTCCCGTAGCAAAGATAACATACGTAAATTCATCTACGCTGCAAAGGATAGAAGCACGACAAAAACAAAGAAAATTTTGTCAGCCTGACAAGATCTGCGATAGTAAATATAACGATGATTAGTCTACGAAGAGATGGAGTAGGCGAGGAAATAGCAGCCTTATCCATGATTCATTATGTATTCACAAATTTTCGGGGACATAACTAGTAGCCATTGATAAGAATAAGAATTATCAAGAAGCAGTATAGCGAGCCTGCTCATCTAGCACTGTGATTTGCGCACCACACAACAGTAACCAGCACATCGCGGTTTTAGGATATGTAGTAGTTTGAAGAAAGCTTTATTCTTCATCACCACAGAATCAAAGAAGCGGAGTTCTTTCAGTATATTAGCAAGCATAAGAGGAAATCGAAGAATGAGGTTCTGACCGGAAGCCTCACGGCGAGTGACCGCTTGTCCTATCGATCTGCCGCCCACAGAGCCGTCGTCCTCTTCCATCATTTGTTGGCTGCGGTAATTTACTTGAGAAATTTGCAACGGCTCGACAGCTTCACTCTCGTAGACGAATTCGCCTATCTTGGAGGGAATTGGACAATGTATTGTGGAACAGATCTTTAATTTAGATAGAATTCAAAA